ATAATATAATCTAAAATCAGAAGAACCTTTCTTTGAAAGTGGTGATGTTATATATGATGCTAGTCAATATTTCAAATAAAAAAATTCAGGTTAAGGTTATATATTTGTATCGCAATTCTAATTTTGCTGCAAGTATACATTTCATCATGTTTAGTACAGCAGTTAATATGTTAAAATAGGAATGCAGTTTTAAATATAAAGAGTACATAATTAGGATGAATGAGAAATTTTTGTGGTAATTCAAATCAAATGATTATATAAATTACAAATAATATAACCTAAAATCAGAAGAATTTTTCTTTGAAAGTCGTGATGTTATATATGATGCTAGTCAATATTTCAAATATCAACTTAAAACAATATAACACAGCATAATGTATTTCAAGATTTTTTATGCATTGATTTAAAAAAATATAATTGCATCACATAAAACAACAATTATATTTCATTTTTATATAAAATATTGTTACACAAAAGTACTCAAAATGGTATAAAAAGTTGACCATGATACACTAACTACTTAAGTGATTGTCAAACTGAATCATTTAAAACAATGACTACAGTTTACAACAAAATATGTACAGAAGTCCAAAAATGGACTAATATAATATTCTTCAGTTCCTGAACTATCAGAATTATAGTACACAAAATTTACTCACAAAATCGATTTCACACAGAAAATGTTTCAACACAATCTATTTTATAAGAACAGAATATACAGAAATAAATAGTTTTTAAACATAAAAAGGCATTTTTAGATTCGTGATATTTTTTTAGTAATGGGATGAAAATATTTCCAAAGTATACTTTAAAAGTAATAATTAATGATTATCTGAAAGACTTTTTTTTTTTTTTTTCAAATACAGAAGAAAACTGAAAAAATTGGCCAATGCCTACACAGCTACTCAGATTATAATAGTGAAATTACAGTTAATAAGACTGTGACAGTGTCGAAGATTCAAATTAAAAAACTTAATACAAGATATCAACAAAGAGAAATGTCAGCATTATTAATGTGATTCTCTGTTAAAACTGTGCTTCAGCTGGGATGGCAAGGATGGCTATGGCACTTACAAATACAGTCAAAAGTCGTTAATCCGGACTCGTCGGGACTTCGGCGATTCCGGATTATTGATTTTTCCAGATTATAGATCATCAGTTTAAATCTTGTAAGATGGCATGCAGAAATTCTAAAATTAAAAATATGAAACCGTAATTTATGAAATAAAGAACAATGATGATCTAAAGGGTATCAAAATTTACAAAAAAAAAAAAAAAAAAAAAAAAAAAAAAGCTTAATATTTATTTCTTTACTTTATTAAATATTTCTTTCAATGTAAGTTGTTTAAGTTGATTCGTTTTATGTGATAATACTTTCTCTTTAATTCTATAAAGAGACATAATTTCTTGTTCAGTTACAAAGTTCCGCTGTTCAAGTCCCGTAATTGCTGTGCCGAGAATACCGACTAACTTGTCAATCAAAATTTTTTCGTTTTCACTAAACTCTCTGTCACCTTCTTCATGTCTTTATCCATTTTTTGCAGCAATTCCACTTTTTGTTTGATGGACATCGAAACATACTTGCGTTTTGTAGATCCTTTGGGAGCTCCAGCATCGGAAATTCTATTTGACATAATCGAAAGTTCAAGTTTACTTTTATAAAATTGCTCTTACAGTCTGCAAAAAATAATAAGCCGGATCCAATTCGAAGATTAAGGAACAACAATCATCAACATTAATTGAAATAGATAATTAGATAATTTTAGCTTATACCATCCGTTATGCATTAAATGCACATGCGAAAACGTATTCTGCGCTTGCGCACACGCATATGCACAGTCGTAAAGGGCGTACACGCACGTGTAAATGTCTATGCGCATGTGTCAACGCAGCGCATGCGCAGAAAGTTTTTAGCTTCGAGGTCCGGATTATAGATCATTCCGGATTATGGGTGTCCGAATTAATGACTTTTGATGGTATCCTCGTTCATTGAAGCAAGCTATTATATTCCACTCATTTTACTTTAAAAATTATTGCCAAACTACTTTGCCAGGAATTACAAAACTTGTATTCTTGACTGAACATTAACCTTGTACTCTTTCAGTCAAACAAAATGCTACAGTTAGAATTTTTAACTTTTATAACAAGTAGAACTCAAATTAATACTTTTTCACAATAAGAGAATAGAGAATTCTATGTGAACTGATGGTTCTCCAGCAAATAATATAGGGGGGGGGGAATTAATTTAGACTAAAAAAATTGTGCAACTGATTAGGAAATGACTTTGTGAGAAACAGACCTCTAACTAAACAAAAATTTGAAAAATCTAGAAAATAATGTTTTACACACTACTTAACTTTCTTTTTATATAAAATTAATTCCCTGTATACATTTAATGTATATTTACGAATAAATTATTTTTTAATTTGCTTTAGTTTAATCTAAGATTTTTTCATTATGACTTGAAATCTGCAGAACTCTCAAATTTGCATAGCCAAGCTGTGCAGATTTTTGCTCTTCTACTGTATTTACAAGCGGCACACAAAGAAAAACACATTCTGTGATGTTTTAATTAATACAAATATTTTTTTTTCATAGAACAGCTTTGCAGGAAAGAAAAAAAATTCCAATACTGCATATTTTCTGTTATTACAATACTAATTTAGAAATAAAACAATCATTCATAAATAATATAGCATAAACATATATATATTTAATCAAAAATTAAATTTTATTTGATTTGATTTAAAATCTATTGAATTAATCATGAAATTTATACATGTGATAAAATTCTTCATAATTAGAAATAAAATGTACATAAACCAGTTATGAGTTTACTTTTCAGTAACATTTATTTTTTATATATCTACCTCTTTAACATTTAAATTGAAATTTACCAAACAATAAGGATAAAGTGCACATTGTGTGAAGAAGAAATAATCATTTTGTGAGTGTGTACTAGATTCAACATTTAAAACTAACAGGGATGGAAAAACTCATCAATTTAATTAAGAACACAAAACATATTTTTATTTTTAAAACATCTTCATTGCAAGACTTAATAAGTCTATACGCATCAAGTATATACTTTGGGGGGGGCACTGCGATAAAATATTATAACATAAAATTTAAACACAAAAAATATTTAAAAGCATATTAAAGGAAGATGTTTATACTGTGTATTAACAACATTATGAAAGCTAAAGATTATCACTTATAGTTGCAGTTTTAATCCAAAAGCAAATGACTAAATCTGTAGCTAAATTTTGCTAAGGTCTGTTTTGCTTTGAGTGCAATTTTAGTTTAATGTTGCATAAATGATTGTAGAAGATTACAAGCTATTTTGAAACAATTTCTTATTTCCATTATCTAGCTACAAAAGTGATGAAAGCATGCACAGCTGCCAATCTTGAAATAAAAAAAAAAAAAAAAAAAAAAAAAAAAAAAAAAAAAAACTGGGAGTTTTTTGTGCTGTGTGTAATGAATCTTCAAAAACTGATAAATTTGACAAATGCATTTTGTAATACATAATCTGAATATCAACCTAGTTAAAACATGATTTTTATTTGAAATACATTAACTTATTATTAGTCCAAAGGGCATTAACCCAAAAGGGCTATTAATTTCATTTTGGCATTTTGCGTTGGTTCACTATAAATGTTAGTTCACTTTTCAAATTGTTGCCACCAAATATTAGAACTCTGTGTTATATTTAAAGAAATTAAATAATAAAGAATGCATAAATGTATGCATGTTTCTCAGATTGTGATAAAACAACAGTACCAAAAGCCATCAAATTTTGAATAACGCAATCTTCCACTGAATATGGGCATCTGGAAGCCCGAATTTGGAATTTGTTTTATTATCGATTTCATATTTTTAACATTTTAACGAATTTTTAATTAATAAACTTAATGATTTTAAAGTGAGCAATGGCAATACTATATGGGGAAAAAATTATGTCCAGCGCATGAGATTGTGTATTGGAAATTCTAAAGTTATGCACATTTTAAAATTTATTTCATAATATTGCTGTGGAATTGAATTTTATGGTTTAAAAACAAAGAACATGATATTTAATAAATAAAGGCAACACACAAAATGATAAAAAAGGCCCCTTTGGGCATAATTTAAAATTTGAAACCTTTCAGATTTTATTTTTTATTATTAAAAATTTTAATTATACTTTATGTTTTTTGACTAACTATTTTTTTTTACTTTTCTAAAAATGTTATCTTGATAAAAAACCTGAACAAGGGAAAAATTCTTATCAAAATATGATGCAGATAAAATTATTAATTAATGTGCAAAAAATCATAAGAATATGCTTAAAATTTGAAAAGAAACTGAAATATAAACTGATTTAAAATAAAATATTAACCTTCTATTGTTTTTTTGTTAATAGTTTAACATAAATAATTTTTTTGCTGTTTCAATTAAGTAATAAAAACATTCTTATTTATGATAGTTTATGTTCTAACTAATCTTAACATATTCTTAATTAACAATATGCTTGAAATTTAAAAGAAATGTTTTTATGGGATTTAATCCCCCTCAAAGGGATTATGTTTATAAGATTGTCTTTATAGAATTTAGTACCATATATTTGTACACCACAGACGTTTTGGCATTTATGTGTTACAGCAACCCTCTCAATGCAGTTTGAATCATTCTTATTTATGATAGTTTATCTTCTAACTATTCTTAACATAACATATTCTTAATTAACAATATGCTTGAAATTTAAAAGAAATGTTTTTATGGGATTTAATTTTTTTTGCACATATTGGATTATGTTATATGTCTTGATAGAATGTAGTACCATATATTTGTACACCATAGACTTTTTGGTACTTATGTATTAGAGCAACCTTCTCAGCACATTTTTGCGATTTTTTACAGAATAAAAAGAATGACTTGTAATTGCAACAAAAATTACTTACCACGTACATATTTTACATTTAAATTAGATATTTATCTTGAAAAATCACACCACAAACTTACTTGCACATGGGATTTTATTTCTTTTGTTCCAGTGGAAATTTTATAATAATTTTAATAATTGATTAAAAAAAAACAACTCTATTGAAAAAATATGGCAGAATATTAAAGAACTTCAGAAATTTTGGAGCAGTTTTTTTTTCCTCTGCAGGCAAATCCCACAAACACATTTTAAAAATGAGTTCAAGACAAAGAGGATAAAAGTTTTTTATGAAAACCACCTGAATCCTATCATTTTGAAATTTCCATAAATTTGATTTTAAATTCAATATTTTGAGATTAATCAACTGGAAAAAATGGTGATTTATGTTACATAATGTTTTTGCCTTAATAGCTTTTTCATTATTTTTCAATAAATAAGAATTTAGTTTTACTTCTCTCAATAGCCTTTAATTTTGACAAGCAGTGTAAATTATTAGACATACACAAAATTAGAAGTATTTTATAACTTCCAACTAACATTAGCTGCTCCCATTTATATTATAAATATCAGCTACCTTCCATTAGCTAATTCTGCACGGAGATACTTCTAAATAGAGGTAATCCTCACATGCTTTGCCATAATTAAAATAGCTAAATCTCTACATATACACATTTGTTTTGTATATAAATGCAAATAATAAATATTTTTTTCAGCTCTCATTTGCTAACAAATAATTGTCTAAATTCATACAAATACAAACATTTTAAGTAATATGGCACTGCAATTTATGGGATGGGACAACATTACTGAATCATTAAATCCAGTAACACTTCCTTTCAAAACTGTGGTACAAATTAGTCTAAAAGATTATCAATAAAATCTTCCTTTTCAGCCCAATTTTCTGTAAATAAATTATCATCATTCAGATCTTCAAAATTATTTTTAAAAGAAGGATCAATTTGCTTTAATTTTTCAAACCTAAAGAAAAGAAGTTCTTTAGCATAATGGTAAAGTTCTATGTCCAGATAATTCATATGCTTGATGGCTTCAATATCCTTGGCACTGATTTCTTTGAATAATTCTTTTCTAGCTGATCTAATGACAGAATCATGAGGTAATGAATTTTTGGCTTTAAAATTTAACCCAAATGTCAGTTCAAACATATACTGAGAAACTTTAGGAAATTCTGAGAGACCAAAAAATGACATTTTATGCAGGTTATTTTTTGCACTCGTTAAAATGATGAGATCTCGATCTTCTTTTGAAAGTGTTGAGTTATAACATCCAACTAAAGAAAGATCAGAAAGCATCCTAGCTTGCCTGTTGGTAGCCAGATTGTGACTACATTTCATGAACTCGTCAAGAGTCAGTTGACTGAGATCATCTTGATTAAAACAAGAAGGAAGTTCATTTTCTGTAGCTTCAACACCACTACACCAATGTCTGGAAGATGACCAACTTTGCCCCTGTCTTACATGCCAAAATTCACTTAAAAATCTTTTTACAGGATCCCTTAAAACCGTTATGAAAAAATATCTGAAAGGAAAATATAATTTTATTAGAACAGTAGTAAATAATCATAAAATTTCATACTTGCACATAATTTTTAATCAGACATTTTCCAACAAAACACACTTTAAAAAGAAAAACTAAATATTCATTAATGAATTTACATTTCAGATTATAAAGGTTGTGTATATGTTAGACCTACATTCACTTCAGATTTATTCTGAGAACAGCAAAAATACTCCTAATATTAAAGTGCCAAGGTGACAATCGTAAAAGATTTTAAAGAAAAAAATCTGATGTGGATACCACATCACCTCCTTGTATGGCCTATTAAATTACACACAATTTTTGCTGCAACAATACCCTGGTATTAAACATTGTTAGATATTTACAATAATAAACTGATAACATTTATATACATGTTTGGTACAGCAGATTGCAATAAAAAAAGGAGGTGCAAAACTAGATGTAATATCAGTCCCATATGCAAAATTTCAACATTCTACAGCTAATCATTTTTGAGTCGTTACGTGAGATATATACGTACATATAAACAGATGTCCTGAAAAATTCCGTTTTGAATCCATTTCAGAAAAAAGACTCCTTTATTCTGTCCATACATACAAAAGTCATGTGACAAAAAATTGTCCGAATGGGTTTGGGAATGGTCAAAATGGATATTTTCATTGAAACATGATACCTGAAAGTTATCATGATTCTAAATTTTAGATGCATATTTCATTTTTTAATCAAATCTATTTCATTAGATAATGACTTGAAAGGTGGAATAATCCCAAAGAAAAACCAGTGGAGGCATTAGCCTATCCGCCACCTGAAGACGTACTCTCTCGGTACAGGTCAATTCGATACGAGGTCGTTTCGACGCCATACTTTTTGTATTTTTATTTGTTTTTAGAATAAGTTTGCATCATCATTCAAATAAATGCAATATGCCTGATATAATATATATTATAAAAGATTTTTTTTTGAGAAAGACACAGAATTCATTTTCCCTGCTAAAACATACTCCAGAATTGGAAATGTGCTTGACGATATTGCATGCCTGAATTGTAAGTAAACATTTGTCATCTTATGTATATAATCCCTCACTCTGAGTATGAAGCTATTGTTAACTGCCCCTTCCCGTGGACCGACTCGTGTATGTCAGAGTACTGATACCTGTATGTGTCAGATTAGGGGGAGGTTATGAAATCGCTTCAGAGTTGTAGTTATCTATTGCCGATTAACAACACATGCGCATTTCTTATCTTCTCTATAGAGCCCATAATCTATTTGGACACCAGTCGACATTTTTTAATTCAATGTTAGCACTTGCAGCCGTAGAAATGTCTGGAAGCGAAAAATATATGACTAAGGTAAAAAAAAGTATGAGCACGATGGATATTTATACTGTTTCGATAAATATATAGAAAATGGTGCAAAAAAAATTGTGGCATTGTGAAGTTGAATTTTCCAAAAACAATAAATGTAAATGAAGAATTTACATTGATGCAGTTACGACCGAATTTTTAAAACTTGTTCGCAATTATGTTCATGAAGAAAATGCAACACGCATGGAAGTTGTCCACACTTTAACATCAATAAAGCAAAAGACTGTTGAAACACAAGAAACTCCCACAGTAATTCGCATTGAAGAAACGCAAGAGCTGTCTGTTGAAGCATTAGGACAGTTTCCAAGTAGAGAAGCTGTAAGATTAGTTATTAAACAACGTAGAAAAGACATAAATGCAGCCCCGTTTCAACCAATTGACAGGGGTTTCATTGAACTGCCAGAAAATTACAAATATTACGGAAAAAATAACGAAAATTTTGTTATCAGCGATTCGGGATTGGGTGATCAAGACCGACTTTTAATTTTAGGAAAAGACAGTGTCAGCGATTGGATTCACTGTGTAACAAAAATTTACGTTGATGGAACTTTTAGTCTAGCACCAAATCTTTTTTCCCATGTTTTTGTTATTATGGCCGAATGTGGACGTTTTGTACTGCCAATCATTTATGCCCTCTTACCCAACAAGGCGGAAAAAACATATACACGCATGATTGAAATGATTTCAGACAATTGGCCACTTTTTAAGCCGAAAATAATTTCTTTAGATTTTGAAATTGCCTTAATTAACACCTTTTCAAGCAAATTTTCAAATGCAGAAATTCAAGGGTGCTTGTTCCACCTTGGGAAAAATATGAAGCGCAAATAAGTAGAATTCCATTTAATGCATCGATATAATACTGATGCTGATTTTGCTCTCTATGCACGTATGATTCCTGCATTAAGTTTTGTGCCTTCTGGAAAACTTGAAAATGTTTTAGAAATTTTGAGTGAGTATTTACCTAAAGAGTTAACCCCAACTTTAGATTACTTTGAAGATTATTACGTTGGAAGGATTCAGAGAAATAATCGTCGCTGTCATCCTACTTTTAAACCAGAATGTGGTCCTGTTATGCTAAAACCTTAAATAACGAAGGACGCACCAACAATTTCGCAGAAGCAGCGCACAAGCGTCTACAGTCCGAATTTGGTGTTTCCCACCCCACATTATGAGAATTCATAGATAGTCTCAGGTGTGTTCAAAAATCAATTGATAAATGTTATGAACAATTTGTACATGGAGATGAACCGCCGCACAAGCGGAATAGGTATCTGCGAGCTGATATGAGAATTAAAGTAATAGTTGAAGATTTTGAAAATCGAGAAATAAAGGAATACCTGAAAGGTGTGGCGCATAATTTTGCAATGGATTTGTATAATAATAGTTCTCTGATGTAATCTTATTTATGTGTAATCTTATTTATCTGTAATTATATTTGTCTGCAATATAACTTCTTTGTAACCATATGTTTAATTACCATTTCTGTATTTTGCCTTTTTGATGCTGATTTGTGAAATAAATAAAAACAACAACAACAAAAAAAAAAAAAAAAAAAAAAAAAAAAAAAAAAAAAACAACCTCCCTCATGTTCCGGGGCCTTGACTTTGGCGAGGGAGCTTTTTACTAATCTGGGACACAAACAAAAATCTAGAACACTTTCACACATATATTTATTTCAAATATGCATGCAAACGATCGCTAATTCAATAAATAAAAATCAGTCATATTACTTATTTATATTAATTCATATTTATTCTAAAAAGAAATAAAAATAAGAAAAATTATGGCATCGAACTGCTCCGGCGTCGAAATGACCTGCTTCATACTCTCTAGGGGTTACAGATTGACCTACAACTAAACCCATTGTCAGACTTAGAACTTGCGATTACAGGGGACTGAAAATTGACAAAGAGGGTAGGAAACCATGTTTTTGTTATTATGGCCGAATGTGGAGGTTTTGTACTGCCAATCATTTATGCCCTCTCACCCGACAAGGCGGAAAAAACATATACATGCATGATTGAAATGATTTCAGACAATTGGCCACTTTTTAAGCCGAAAATAATTTCTTTAGATTTTGAAATTGCCTTAATTAGCACCTTTTCAAGCAAATTCCAAATGCAGAAATTCAAGGGTTCTTGTTCCACCTTGGGAAAAATATGAAGCGCAAATTAGCAGAATTCCATTTAATGCATCGATATAATACCGATGCTGATTTTGCTCTCTATGCACGTATGATTCCTGCGTTAAGTTTGACAATTTGAAAATTGACAAAGAGGGTAGGAAAACCTACAGCCAGGGTACTCAACCTGGTGCCCAAAGTGACCTTGCATAGTGCCCACCAAGCTTCCGTAAAATTTTTTTTTTTTTTTTTTTTTTGCTGCAAGTCTTTGGGTTGCAGCGGGTTCGGCGGGGGGAGGAATCAGAAACATGATGAGTGATGGTGTGTCTTAACTCTATTCTTTTTATCCCCTCTGTCTGGTTTAAAATGACAATGCGAACACGCGCCTCGGGCCTGCCTACCCAATTTCTGAAAAAAGAGGGAGAGATAAATTTCGGAAATGCCTGTGAATGATACACACATGACCTTGAAAGCAGTTACTGAGAAGCTCGAAAAATTTCACCAAAAGAAGTAATTTCTGTAGTATGTTTTTGTAATGACTGGGCCTCACAGGCCCAACGGGTATCGTCGCGGGTTAATAGAATGATAAAGTTTTAAGATTGTAGGCACGATATTACACGGTTCATCACACCAAAAAGAACTGACAAAAGTGGAGGGAATTGCAGGTCAGAGTTGAAGTTTGACTCGACTGTATGACACAATTATATTAAGTACAGTACAAAGTCTTTAATCTGGACTCGTCGGTACTTCGGCGATTCCGGATTAGGGGTTTTTCCAGATTATAGATCATCAATTAAATCTGGTAAGATGGCATGCAGAAATTATAAAATTAAAAATATGAAACCATAATTTCTGAAATAAAGAGCAATTATGATCTCAAAAGTATCAAAATTTACAAAAACAAAAAAACAAACAAAAAAAAGGCATAATATTTATTTGTTTACTTTCTTAAACATTTCTTTCAATGTAAGTTGTTTAAGTTGCTTTGTTTTTTGTGCTCATACTTTCTCTTTAATTCTATAAACAGACATAATTTCTTGTTCAGTTACACAACTGTTCAAGTCCTGTAATTGCTGTGCCGAGAATACCGACTAACTTGTCAATCGAAATTTTTTCGTTTTCACTAACCTCTCTGTCACTTTCTTCATGCCTTTATCCATTTTTTGCAGCAATTCCACTTTTTATTTGATGGACACCGAAACATAATTTCGCTTTGTAGATCCTTTGGGAGCTCCAGAATCGGAAAGTCTTTCTGACATAAGTTTAAGCTTACTTTTTTATAAAATTGCTCTAAGTCTGCAAAAAATAATAAGCCGGATCCAATTAGAAGATTTAGGAACAACACAATCTGAAACATTAACTGAAATAGATAATTAGATAATTTTAGCCTAGCTTATACCATCCATTATACATTAAATGCGGATGCGTAAACGTATTATGCACATGCATAAACATATATGCACCTGCGTAAAGGTATGCAGAAAGTTTGTAGCTTTGAGGTCTGGATTATAGAT